CTTCAAGGAACAGCTGGCTGCGAGTTAGTTAAGGACAGCCAACACGCACTTGAAATTTTTCGTGACCTTAGTTTCCTCGGCCAAAACAAACTTATTTTCATTATGGATATAACATCTCTTTATACTGTCATTCCCAATGACGAAGGTCTCCGGGCCCTCAAACATTTTTTCGATCATCGCACTGTTAAGGAACCTAGCTCTGAAACACTACTCCGTCTGGCCGAACTAATACTCACACTCAATCGCTTTTCATTCGGTGACAACTACTACATAGGCGTGGCCATGGGTATTAAAATGGGACCCAGTTACGCCAATCTTTTTGTAGGTTTTATCGAACATCAATTTTTTTGTCAATACCACGGCCCAAAACCTGAACTCTACGGCCGTTACGTTGACGATTGGATCGGCGCTACCTCCTCTACCAAAGAGGAGCTCACTCAATTTATAACCGCCGTCATTTTCTTTCATCCGGCTCTTAAATATACCTGAGAAATTTTCGACACTTCTTTGGCTTTTCTAGACATCAAAATTCCAATTGAAGGCAACGTTTTCTGCACCAGTGTTTACTACAAACCTACAGTTTCACGTAGTTAATTGTTGTATTCATCTTCACATCCATCACATCATCACACGTCAAGAACTCCATACCTTTTTCACAGTTTCTCAGACTTCGTCGTTTATGTAGTGACGACTCTGATTTTTCCGAAAAGTCAGAGGCAATGTGCCAGTTTTTCGATAAACGTGGTTATCCTGTCTCTGTCGTTCAAGCGGGCCACCACCGTGCCCAACAAATTGATCGACAGTCAGCACTACAAACGACTGAGAAGGACAACACTGACCGCATTCCATTTACTCTTACATTTCACCCTCACAACCACACAGTTAAATCTATCATTCTTTAAAATTTTAAATTACTCCAAAACGATTCAGAAACTTGCACTATCTTTTCGCAACCCCCACTTATTTCATTCAAACGTGACAAAAACATAGGCAACTTTTTAGTCAGGAGTTCATTTCAAACCAATGACCAATCTGGAACGTTCAAATGCGCTCGCTCACGATGCAAAACTTGTTCTTTCATAACGCAGAGAACATATCGGGACCCAAGAGATCTATTAAGATCATTGATCACTTTACGTGTACCTCCGCCAATGTTATTTGCTGCATAACTTGCACTTATTGGAATAAGTTATACATCGGCGAAGCAGGAAGACGACTAAGTGACCGATTCCGAGAACACCTTCGCGACGTGGACAGAAATGACAAGGACGCATCCAAACCAGGCGCTCGACACTTTAATCTTCCTAATCATTCTGAACAGCATATGGCAGTTTGCGGCCTTTCCTTACATCTAGGCAGTTCGGAAAGCCGTAAAATACTAGAACAAAAATTTATCTTCTAAATCGGCATCCTTAATCCCCACGGAATCAACGAGCGCTTTTCAGTCAACTAATTTATTCCTGTTTTCTTGTCACCATATTCCCACCAATGACGTAGCTCCACTTTCTGTATATAAACCCGCACACAACCCACAATTCCTCCAATCGCTCTTACGAAGGGCTAACACTCGAAACGTCAGCTTTTTTACCCTTTATGGTAGCTAATTTACGTTTTCAACTCAGTTGTTAGCACTAAATTACCTGCTATACTCTCCTACCGACGCAGCACCACAGTTTCTTTAAAAACTTACCCCTTTATTCATTTGTCTTAAAAATGAAAGCCTTAAGACGAATAACACATTTTGAGGCTGGTAAAGTGCAACTTAACCTTTAATTTATGTCAAATTACTTATTTCATGTGGAAATTCTCCCTCTAGTACATTTACCTACTCATAGAGCCTCACTATCCGATGGATAGGGGCCAAGAGTTTAAAGCCGTTGCCTCTCAACGATTAAAAAAGATGCTTGATGTTCTAATATAAAACTTGAAATTTTAATTGCTAATAAGGAATCATGAATAGATTAGTGATAATGATTTTTGAGGAGCCGTTTATTCATTTTAATGATTGGGAGTTTATTCAGGAGGGGGCATATTTATTGCGGTTAAACATCTATGATTCTTGGGTAATGCGGGTATCAGCGGCCATCCCGAGGGGTCGACCCCCGGGCAACCCAAGGGCAACCCACGGGCTTAGCAGGGGATTTGTAGCAAAGGCATGCCCCGCACGCGGGGCATTAGAGCGCTTTTGCGTTTTTGGCAAAATATCCCGGGGCCATACCCACGGGATTTGCACGTAATCTGCTGTCTCAACGTTCAGCGGTTTTCGCCACAGGAAAAGCAAGCTCGCTCGCTCGGTGTTCTTCTAGCCCTCGAGGTAAATGGGAGTAAGAAACGACCTGATCTCAGTTATTTTTGCTTTCCTACAAGGCCCAATGAGCGTAAGAAGTGGGAGGTTTTCTGTAAGCGAGCGGATAAAAAATTCAAGACACTCGGCGATCCAAGAATCTGTTCATTGCATTTTAAGGAAAGCGACATCGAGATTTCAATTTCATACGGTTAGTTCGCATTCGAAGCGTCTTGCCGATAGGAAGAGACAGTGTGATGAACAACCGCAAGCCAAGAAAGTTTGCCCCAGAAAGCTCGAATTTGAGGACTCCATAGAGACTTGTGTGGATTTTAGTGCTGATGTGGCTTCAGTAAACCATGATCACTCGTACTTTTGCATCGAGGAACAGGCAACACCGACTATATGTTGCCCAGGTTGCTCCAGGGGTGGGGGTATTTGTCCCAATTTTTTGCCCTACCCGAGGGGCTTTAGCATGTATTTGTCACGGCAGCTGTGACAAATGCCCCTGGGTGCCCGGGGGTCGACCCCTCGGGATGGCCGCTGATACCCGCATAAGTCCAGGGTCAAAATAAGGAATCGAAGTTCCCCAATTTAAAAAGGTCTTCAATTTTCGTAAATTTCCTAATGCAATCTCCTTTCAAATTGACCTCAAAATTTGCACAACTGATTAGACAACATTTATAATGTTTTCAAACTGAACTTCATTCAAAAATCTAAACCACAGTTGAAAATGAACCCTCCCAGAAAAATTAGGCTTTCAAAAATGCCTCACAGGGCCTGTAACCAAGCTCATGCGTAATCCAAAAGTTCCGACGAGTTAACTCCATGTAAGGCCAGGGATAAGTAGATGCTTGCGAATCTATTAACAACCTCACAATGCAGCCAAAAGCTTAAGCAAATTTCTTCTGATGTGATCCCAGCGATCAATTCCTTGGAATTTGCTTTTGTGGTCTCTACCTCACTCCAGTTGATGTCAGGAGTAGGTTTTTGTGGGAGCAAATAGGAATCTCCTTATTACTACGCACCTGGTTTTAATTACCACTTTTCAAGCTGCTTTCATAGGTAACTGAAACTTAAATTACTATATGAACAAACAATACCTAGTGAGCTTTCGCGCAAAAAATTACATCTTCTCACATGAAGATAATATGTTAAAATATCATGTTAATATAAAAATCGCGCCTTTTGGATGCACAGCCTTTGATTTATTATTATTTATTTATTATTGATTTATATACAATAAATATAATATTACATGGTCGCTTAGAGATACCAAAGTTCTATTCTCGTGTTGAAAAGTATTTCTACACGAGAAATGTAGTATCTCTGCGCGGTCATGTAACATCCTCTATTTAACTAACTTTCCTAGCCATACCTCAAGCAATATGAATTCTCGATAAGCTCTTCTTTTTGTAGTTAAGTGTATATACGAGTAATTAAAGTGGGAAGTAGTTAAATTCTTCAGATACAATATTTATTACCTTAGATCAAAGAGTTGAGTACAATGTGAGGAAACTTGGATGTGCTCAACCGTCATTAACTATAGTACATCTAGCACTAACACAGCATGTAAGAGAACAATGGGACATTTATAGTACTGAATCTCTTTCACCCACTTACTTTGATTTTTTTATTATTCAAATCGAGACGTAGATTGTACACTATTTCAAATGAGCTAAAATTGATCAAGTAGTTTATATAACAGTCTGGTTATATGCACATCTGGTGTATGACTTGATAGAAACAATGTGATTGAATGGTGCTTTTCGCACGTTCTTAGTGGAAATTCAAGGGTGATTTGTACTATCCAGCTCTTATGTGTCGAAAGGAAACGCGATGGCTTCCCCTTGGATACCGATACATACATACATAAATATATACATACATATACTTCATTTATGCTCGAAATTCACAGTGTAGCTGTAGAGCTAATATCTTCGAGAAAATAAGCTAAAATGAAATAAAGATATACTATATTACAGTGCCAATATTATTTAAAAACTATATACAACATTATGCATGCAGAGGGAAATAAAACTTATAACCGATGAGGAAAATATTTGATAAACGAGAAGAAGGACGCAAATAATGCCAAAATAGCTGTTAACCTCGGTTTACATCTTAAATTAATTCAAATGATCTCTCCGACAGGATGTTCAAAAGAATAAAGTCAGAGTACAACATAACTCTTTTTTTTTTGGTTGTCAGGTATAACAAATTATGCAAGTTGCTTTTAGCAAAGAACGCATGAAATATTCTACTTCGTTTTATCGTTCTCATCCCTTGACTTGTCATTAAAAATTATGAGCGGTTTTTTGAGCCCGAATTACCATGGTACGATGTTTTCCGGTTTGATGTCCGAATTAGATAGACATTTATGTCTGATGATATTGCCGCTTTTACTTCATTTTGAGGGGTAAATATCAAGACTATTTATCTCAGCTGATGTGAAACTGTCTGATATGGCCCTCGATGCTTTCGTTCTCGGTAAGTATACATATTTGTTTACCTCGGCTTTTAACTGGCTTGAGATTCATAAGGTATCTTACACACAAACAGATGATGAAGAGCACGATTTCCCCTCAATTGTATCACTTGTCAGTAAAAAAATGTCGAATTATCAATTTAAAAAATCAATCAATCAAACTGCACTCTCCTGTTTAGAGCTCGGTGATAAGAACTGCCTACTTGTAAATCTTACTAAGGATACAACTGACCTAGACTCAGCTGATGGTAAAACCCTAGCTCTAAATATCTGATGAGGACCTACACAACAACGAAGCAAGTGTAGCAGGAAGTTTTTAAATTCTGGAATTCTTAGTGGATAAATGATTACGTTTACGAAAGAATTGCTGTATTGAAAAACCCTGATGATGAATACTGTCAGTTGCAGATGAGAAAAAGATGGAAAAACATGCAAATTTACTAATATGTTAATAATCTGGAATGGAAGCCAGGTAAAAACAGAAGCTCCTGTTATCAAAAATAATGTGTTTGCTAATTTGGCCTCTCTGCTGACATTGCTATGGTTACATACTGGTGATTTTTGTTTCCTCCAAATAACAAAATACGCTACACACATAACTAATAGAGGCGTTGCAGGAAAAAAAACTAGAAGGTAGATTACACTGTCTCTTTTAATGATGTATACGTATACATCAGTGAGAACAGTGAATATTGCTGCTATGATCCACGGTATGGAAATGGCACAGATATAAATACGAAAGTTTGCAGATCTATGACGAAGAGGCCAACCGATGGCGAACATTCTTTCCAAGGAAATGACTGCAAGTGTATAAATGGACGATGTACTTGTAAACATGTCAACAATGTTGAAAACACGCCATGTTGTTATTGAAGCTGATTCAAATCCCGCTATGAAAAGAGGAATGGCCAGTCCTCCCACCAGTAAATCAGCCACGCCCAAACCGATCAGAAGAAATGAGGAACGCTTTCGGCGTCTCAGCTTAGAAAACATCCAGATGTTTAGAATATTTCCAGCAACGATTAAAGTTGCCAAAAATCCAAAACATAACCTCCAGAACATATTCCAGGTGTTGAGATCCAT